ATGCTGTGTGGTTTTCAATTGTGTAGTAATTGTCTCTTTCCCGGGTGCCTTCTCTCTCACGGGCTCTCTCTTCTTTCCCCAAGGAGGGAAACTGGGGCTTCTGCAGCCTGTCCGCTTAGCATCACCAAGTCCACAGACATAGGTATGTATGCGAGTTTGTCTGTGTGCGTAAGAGTGTCTGTGCGTGTTTTGTCTGTGTGCGTAAGAGTGTGTGGGTGGGTGGGTGTGTGCGTGTGTGTGGGAAAAGAGCCCATGAGCGGGACATACAGAGCCATAAAAAACGGAAAACAAGTGGAAAAAAAGAGGAGGAGAAAGAAAGACACTGAAAAAACGACTGAGATAAAAACGCAACCGTACACACTTCAATATGTGCCATCCAGATCGATCATTATAATAACTTTAAGGTATCACCTCCAATGCCCAGCATGATACCGTGCCATACGGAACACAGTGACTCTTCCACAAAGCGAAGAGCCGCCGCTATCTACCGTCTTCCCCGAATAGAACGAATCGTCTTTGTCCACGTATAGTTGACCAAAAGTTTCCCCGAATGCAGGTATAATGATAGTAGCACGTATCAGACTGACCGCAATTTCCCACAACACAGTCCGGCGACGTCTCAGGGGCTTACTCACATCTGACCGCTATTTTGGCCAGCCGTGGATGAATATGGATGCAATGACGTCCAGATCTCTGCAGAAACAGTCCCAGTGTGAGTACGCCCTCAAAGACATAGCATGCCACGACCTCAAACCACGTGATTCTGTTTAGATGGATAGACGGAAAGACGTCCTGATGCCCAGAAAACGTTAGCAGACTCAAGCAGAGCCCCTTCGCAAGGATGACATTTGTCAAGCACATCAACGGCCTCATACCTACCCCCCCTTACCGCCTACCATTTGCACGGATCTGGAAATCGTACTGTCCACATGCATTCAGAATCCTGGCCGATCGCCACAGCAACGAAGGCACAAACAGAGTAGGCAGGAACATACACAACTCGTTGGACAGAAACGACTAAATATGCCATAGAGCAATTCATAGAAAAATTAGCAACCCCCCCCTGCCCTCCCCCCCACCCCCAAAAGGTCGACAGGCAGGCATGCCAGGAGGAACGTTCCGCCATAACGAAAAGCAAAAAAGGACAAAGGACACCCTTCCTGCCAACCACTGGACGTTAAAAGAGACGAGCCCGTCTAGGCAAACGATCCGAAGACAAGGGAGAGATAAGCAAAGTCAGGATTAGGATTCCGACCAAGATGATCAACGATGTACCCGCGGCTTCACTATCACAGAGAGATAGTCCATCTATACATAGTACAAGAGGACACTTCAGTCAGCGTCAACTGCTGGGCACAAGTCTGCAACCCGGCACGTCTTCAAGAGAACGTGCACTCGCAACTGTTACATCTCCATGTTCCCCGCAGAACTAAACGCCAATCAAAATGAGAGATGACCCTCTATAATTATGATCGTCCTCCCTCTCTGTACATCACTGCACTTTCAATCAAAGAAGTAAACCGGTCTCTAGATACGATACGTGGACAGAGAGAGTAGCGAAGTCAGGAAAGAGGAGTGACGAAGTCGTTGGTGCAGGCACACGCTCCGAAGACAGACTCGGAGAGCGAACAGCGAAGTGAGGAGAGAAAAGAGAGAAAGTTGTTGTGCAAGGCACAAGCTCTCCTCAGCTTCGCAACTAAACATGCCCGCCCGTCAATAAGAGAGGTCCGTCTGCACGTCGTGCGCAGCGGCTTGTTCCTCTCTCCTGTTCATCTTCCCGCTGACCCTTCTGTCCCTTCTGTCCCTTTTTTCCGCAAACCCTCGTCCCTCCCTCTCTGTCCCTTTTTCCGTCCATTTTACTAGCCCGTCGTGGTAACTTACATCTCAGTCGATCTCCCATCATGATGTTGTTGTTACATATTTACAACTCCCGTGAAGCCGTATTTCTGTCCGTACTTCCGCGGACTCTCTTCCTCTCATCAAGCCCGTCCAGTGAGTGATACGTCCCCGTGACTTACATATTGCTTGCTAGATCTCGACCGTCCCGAACTCCCGTATTTATTGTTGTTAGACACTTCAAGTCTCGTCAAGCATGCTCAAGTTTACAGCGTGCTACACATTACAGTCCTGACGCAATGCCATCGAAAACGAAGATCATGAAATTAACGGACACCGAGGACGTTGGACAACCCAGCGTACAMAAAAACATTCTGACATAGTAGAAAGGTATCCATGTTCTTAGCCCCCCCCCCCCCTTTAAGTCGATACTTCCCAAATTGCTTTTTCTGGCCCTTCCTAATGTCAAATGGATCACAGAAATGAATGAAACTGCTCTAAGAAAGAAGCAGGCCATGAGTTCAGGCGTGAAAAAGACGGTGGCCAATTCTTCTTCTTCTCCCCTCGACTTCTCCCGGAATCCGTCCATCGCCTCCGCAGTTGACCCCCCACACGCAGATCTCTGCGCTTCATGACATGTCGTTCTGCCCACACGCAGCTCTCTGCACTTGATCAGATACAATTCTGCCCACACGTATCGCACGACTAGGGCGTTGGGGCCACAAGGAATGCTGCTGCACATGTTGCCATGCACACAGCTTGCTGCGAGTTGCAAGCTATGACCACCGCTGGAGCCGCCGCCCCTCCCGTCATTGTGCCAGCCACCAGCCCTGCTGTGCTGTAGCAGAGCACCCAGGCCGCGTTGCAGGCGGTCTGACAMGCCGGATACCCGGCAAGGACGCCCAGCAACCCGGCGTGAGCCCGTCTGGGACCTGMTGACGTCAACAGCAATGAGATGACAAGGAAGWAGAGGGCCGTAGAGGCCACGTYGTCACAAGCGAGACGTCCTGACGATCGCCGCGCCATGGTCGTTCCAGACACGTTGCCGGCTGCCAACTCTCCACAGCAGAATGAGCAGATAGGTTCAGAGGGAGAAAGGAAGACAGCAACAGAAGGAGAAAGCAAGCGGAGACTGCCGGCTACACAAAAGCGGTTGCCTTGCAGTCTTCAGATCGAATCGTCCCGCCCTTTTTCACTTCCTCTGGGCGACTCTTCTCCTCAACACCACCACCGCCTCACGGTGCTTACGTGCAAGCCGCTTAGAGTGAGAAAGGCTGTGACATCACCAATCTTATAGAGCCCCGTGAGGTCATTAGAACAGCCGTAAGCTTCTTCTTTTTTTTTTTTTTGTTAAATCTATTCGTGGGGAGCAACACGTGCTGCTGGGAACAGGGCCCAGCGTCCTATATGAAAACTTATGTGGAACAGTTTGAGACCGGGCCGATTACCCGGTTTACCCTCTATAATCTTACTGCTAATCAGAGTCAACAGAGCTTTTTTTTTTGGGGCGGGGGGGGAGACAACAGAATTGAGAAAACTGCTGATCCTATAGAATTGTTTGTTTTTTTTAATTCTCTTTTTCCTAATTCGCAGCCAGGAGGCTGCACAAAAAAAAAAAAAAAAAAAACCTCTGTGGGTTCCATTTTCGTGGTTTCATTTTTTCTTTCTTTTCTTGGTAAGGTCGTGCAGTACAACTTCTTGGCTAGGACGGGTTCGTTTGGGGTCTCCGACAGCAGAAAATAGGGTCCGGTCGCAGTCGTCCCTAAGACCCGTAGTAGGGCGGGTTATCTTGTCAAGGTCGTTGCAATTTAGTATAGGGCGCCGTCCATTGTTTCCCTTTTGAGGGATAGAGTGTTTTCCCGTTGCAAACTGGGGGTGGACGATATGGGTCTGGGTGGGCGATTTGGGTCTGGGTCTACAGGATCCAAGCATTCTGCTGTTTACTACGGCCTGCCCTGCCTCGTTGGCAGGGCTTACTAAGAAAAGAAAAGAAATGAAAAAAATGTGCAAAAATTTGTCTGGCACCCCTGTAATTCGCGTTATTTTCTGCCACACCCCTCCGAGGGCCGATTTACCCTGTCGCGCCCCTCGTTGTTAATGAGACAACTCAGTCAGTAACTCTCAGTATCCATCCACGACGCAACAATATGACATAGGCAAGTAAGAAGACAAGAAAGAAAAGGAAAGGAAGAAGAAGAAGAAGAGGAAACGCCAACACAAGATAAAAAATCTCCCGAGCGCAACTGGCTCACGTAAAATTTATCAGCGAAAACGTCGAGCCAAGTCAAACCGTGGCGTAATCCTACCTGTTTCGGCTGGCCGCCACTCCAGCCATCATCAGGGATCTTTATGGTCGTCGGTACGAGACCAAGCGCCCGTGACCCTTTTTATCTTGCTAAGATAAGCGTAGACAATCAATTCGCATTGTTCTACAAAAAAACGCCTTACCTTGGAAAACATAACCGCTTCAGGTACACCAACCAAGCCTATGCACCTTACCTGTAAAACAGACTTTGAGAGATAAAAATCACCGTACATCCACCTGGGTCCAAGTTCATGAATAGAAAAGAAAAATTCAGCCCACTACTTTTTAAGAAATTACCAGAAGGTACCCAGGATCGAGGCCCATACCGACAACTGGGTCGAAACGCCGTGATACCGAGATCACTTTTTTACAATGCACACCAAAGTTCAAGGACACTACCGTCAAAGCCCTACAGACGGGCAGCGGTTCCCCCACCACATTCGACCAATAACCTACCCCATCCAGTTAAAACTGGCAGCCAGTGGTCCCAAAGCCCAGCAAATTTCCTCGAAAAATTAATCAAGGCATGATCGAAATAAACATCTGGATACCCACGTCGCCAAAGCTCGACCTTCAACGTGAACAGAAAAGGAAGCTCCATACCTGAAACTGTACCAAATAATCGAGCACGATGTAAAAAAGACCCAATGACAGCCATCTTTTGCTGCTTACTCGAATAGGACACAAAGTCCTGTATACTGTGAAACATCAACTTCTCCTCTCTCCATCCCCGCTGATTTTTATGCATTGGAAAACAAGCCACACCAGTTGTATCTTTGAATACCTTCAGGACACATCCCACAAAGTCCCACGTTTGACCGTCATTGGTCCTTTCAAGAATCAAATTACTATCGTAACTCATGGAATTTTTTTTAATCAACCCCTCAGCTCGTTCGTTAGACCCAGTCGATTGCTCATCACACACGACAAAGACAGAGACATCGTCTACCAACCTGAAGCCATGAAAAAAGGGTCAGACACACACACACACACACACACACGCACTCACAATCAATCAATCAATCAATCAATCAATCAAACCCCGCTTTTCTTTATTTATTTTTTATTTTTGCATCTGTATTTTTTTAGAACATCTCATAACCCTGCAAAATACACATATTCATTTCTAAAAAAAAATACAGGTAAACTCAGGGACCATGTATCTCATTATAAAAAATGAAAAGAAAAAAAATCTTGCGTTTCTTTATATTTGTAATTTTAATTTTCTTCAAATCAAATTTAGTTTTTTATTTAAAAAAAATCCTAAACAAAGTCTGATTCCAAAAAAAAAAAAAAGTGGTTGTAGGGCTTAAAATTCCGTACAACGCCCCCCCTTTTTTTTTTTTTGGCCTATTATTTAATTCAGGAAAAATCTGGTAAAATCGGGTTCACGGTGCGGACCCGGTAGGCCGCGGAGGCGGCCGTGAATACGTCCGCCCTCCGAGCTCGGCCCCGCGGATGCGTCCGCGGGTGTTTCATAGGCCGCCGCCACCACTCTGTCCTTGCTTCCCTCGCCCTGCTCTCCCCCCTACCTCGTCGTTCAAGAAAGTGGAACCATCGCCGCCGCTGGAAGCATCACCGGCAGATTGCGGAGCAACAAGTAGCCCAACCTAGCGGCCACGTCATGAAGAACGCAGTTGGAAATCGAATTCGAATTTGTGGCGCCTCACGGCTGCAGGGGCATATCAGAAAGATGGCTGCCCCTCATGAGGGCATATGGCACAGGGCCCGATGGAAATAGGACTGCCAATACAAGGAGGGCGTCCCATAAAGTTGCGGTCACTACCGACAAGGGTCTGCCGAAAATATTTTTAGGCCCGGGGTCTTTGGGACCAATGACTACCAGTTTTAACTGGATGGGGTAGGTTATTGGTAGAATGTAGGGGGGGGGAACCGCTGCCCGTCTGTAGGGCTTTGACAGTAGTGTCTTTGAACTTTGGTCTGCGTTGTAAAAAAGTGATGTCGGTATCACGGCGTTTCGGCCCAGTTGTCGGTATGGGCTTCGATCCTGGGTACCTTCTGGTAATTTCTTAAAAAGCAGTGGGCTGAATTTTTCTTTTCTATTCATGAACTTGGACCCAGGTGGATGTACGGTGATTTTTATCTCTCAAAGTTTGTTTCACAGGTAAGGTACATAGGCTTGGTTGGTATACTTGAAGCGGTTATGTTTTCCAAGGTAAGGCGTTTTTTTGTAGAACGATGCGAATTGATTGTCTACGCTTATCTTAGCAAGATAAAAAGGGTCACGGGCGTTTGGTCTCGTACCGACAACCGTAAAGATCCCTGATGATGGCTGGAGTGGCGGCCAGCCGAAACAGGTAGGATTACACCAGGGTTTGACTTGGCTCGACGTTTTCGATGATAAATTTTACGTGAGTCAGTCGCGCTCGGGAGATTTTTTATCTTGTGTTGGCTTTTCCTCTTCTTCTTCTTCAAGTTCTTCTTCTTCTTCTTCTTCTTCTTCTTCTTCTTCTTCCTTTCCTTTTCTTTCTTGTCTTCTTACTTGCCTATGTCATATTGTCGCGTCGGGGATGGATACTGAGAGTTATTGACTGAGTTGTCTCATAAACAATTTTTTCACACGGGGTAACCGGCGCTGGAGTTATACAACGGCTTAGTGGTTTCGGATCACTTTGTAACATTATCCACCGATTCGTACACTATGGCTTCTAACTACCCTTCTACCTCGTCTCAAGCTGTGCGCAAGTGTTACAATTGCGGTCAGCCTGGCCACTTCGCTAGGTTTTGCCCACACCCTCCTTGCAATCCTACTATCTTTAATCCTAATAACGCTATCATCCCTATCCAGAACCCTCCCCTCCTCACTCTACCTCAGTCTTTTGTGGCTCCAGCTCAGACTTTCTCCAATCCCAATCCAAGTTATGGGTACAGTAGAGGAAACAGATGGAATCAGACTCAACAACGTCTTGGATGTCTAGAGGACAAAATGTCGAAGTTCATGGAATGACACGACGCAGAGAAAACTAAAGATCGTGAGAAACAAGCGGAGGAGCGTGCAGCGCGTGAGAAGGAAGAGCAGCTGAAGAAAGAGAGAAAGAAGAAGGAACGAGAAGAATTTCACAAGGAGATAGACGAGGCTATGAATGCTAGGTTGGATGCCGTATGCGCGGCTTTACTCGAGAAGGGTCAGAATAAGGAACTTGACAAATTGAAGGCGGAGGTTGAAAGCCTGAGACAAGCGCAATTTACTGTTGGGACAGTGGGCGACCGTGGAGGGAGTTCGCCCGATGTTATCAAGAAGTACACGCATGAGAAGAAGGAATCAAGCAAAAAAATTTTGGAGGATGAGCAAAGATTGGCGAGGATGGAGAACGAGATTCAACTGTTAAGGAAGAAACGTGATGATGTGGTTACTGACGCCGAAAATTGGAAAACTGAGGCGTTACGACCAGGAAACAAACGAGGCGGAATCGTCATTGAAACCCCTTCCACCCACGCTAGGGTACGACCACGTTGTACATTAATGAAGTCCCCGTCTGCTTCACATGTGGCCGGTATGGCGGCATGTCACGCTCGAGAGGTGAGCGTGCTGAAGGAGAAGAGGGCGCTTGAACTGAACGACAGAAGGGTGACTGAGCAAAAAGCTGAGTCATTGAGGGAGCAACATGCTATTGAGATTGAGAATAGACATAAGGCTGAGCAAGAGATCGAGAGACTGAAGATGGCATTGTCGAGGATGGAAATGGAGCGGCAAGAACGCACGCCAGCTACGAGCCTTCGCTCGAAGCTCGATGAGGCGGCGAAGGGATCAGTGAAGAAGTCTGCTAAAGGTAAAGAACCTGCAAATCAAGGAGCACAGGCCAACAACAAGGAGGCGTTTATCTTTGATAATAGGCGCACGTTAAGAGGTTTGAAGAAAGATGAGGTGCTGGCTATTTGTGCCAGAGAAGGGGTGACACATACGGCATTGGACCGTGCCAAGGAAGATATTGTGAACAAGAGAGTTGTTCTAGCGTTTGGTGAATCGGTTGCTGTTGATGTACCTGATGACTCTAATTGCTCTGCTGACCTCGCGAAGACTGATGGAGTCGAAACGATATCTTAGGGTTTATCTCGAGTGCGGCTCAGCTATGGAATTTGGCAAAATGGTGTGGTAATCTTCAACTCTCCTCTCCTCAATTTCTTCGCTGTCGAGCTGTGAATCTTTTCTTCTGTCTGGTGGTGATTCTCCTGATTTTGTCTCAACAGATCCCTTGGGCTTACAAATTCAAAGATTTTCTCTGTCGACTGATTAATAACGGGTTTGACCTAGACAAATGTGAGGGTCCGTTGGTGTATGTTTTGGTTTTGTCCATGGTGTCGTCATATTTATGTAGGCCAAACTGGACGAGATCTTTGCACTCGTTGGAATGAGCATGTTTTTCGCACACAGAACACTGTTGTAGTAGAAGGGGGTAGACGCAATGAGAGAATGTATCGGTGGCTGAGACGCAGTGAGATTCATAATTATGTCGCTATTCCTGTGTGTGCGGGCGATATCGAAAGTATCGATGTTTGTAAAAAGTTTTTTATTCGAAGGTTTTGTCCAGCGTTAAATGTGAGGGATAAGCCTAGCCGACCTAGGCAGAGGAGGCGTGGGTTACGTGAACGTCTACGCGAAAAAAGACGCAAGAGCATTGGATCGGATGCAGTGTGTGAAGATAAGTCACTGGTGACTTTCGTTTTTAGCTGGGGAATGTCCTGTGTGAGCTTACGTAGGATTCTGGATGATTGTTACCGGCAGGGAAGACAGCGTTGTGTTGTGGTATGTCGTGGAGGTACATCTCTTGGTGATTCTTGGAAGGTTTTGAGAAGGTGCTATGGTGCCTCCGTGGTCTCTTATCAGTTCGGTGTTGGTCAACTTCGCAGAGCACGTGGATGGTTGAGAGGTGGGTCGACTCTACTTTTCATTGTATTAGTCCTTTTCTTAGTCGTTCTCTCGAACTGAAGGAACCTCTTGCTCTTCTGCTCTGCAATCCTTCTTCTCGAAGCAATCTATATTTGTGGGATCTGGATAAATTGATTTTCTCCTATTCGGCAATTCGTAGTTTTACGGAAAAAAGGACGAGGACCCGCTTAAGGTATATTGTGTCACGAGTGGTGAACGCACGTTTTAATATTCAGGTTTGTAACAGGCTTGTGGTGCGAATTGTCTACGACAGAGCGTTGAGTAAGATGGCTATTCGTAATGTTTGTGTCAAAATTGTTGGTAGTTTGGCTATCTCCGATGCTTGGAAGGACTTGATTATCCGTCGCTTACGAATCTTGTGGTGCAGGAACAAAACCGTTGGTGATATTATACACAATCATCGGAGATCGGCAAGGGTAGAGGCTGTCAAGTGCGCTTGCACACATTCTGACGATTCCTTTCCGCGTGTGGAAGGTCACGTTGCGTTTCGTTTCAGTAATACGAATTTCTTTCCTTACGTCTTGTCAAATTCAAAAAACGTTCTTCATCCTTCGCAACGATCTGCTTCCTTTCTACATCGCCAACTCCTCGACTCTTTCAAAATCTTTTCTGTGTCTTCATCTGCCCCACTGATTTCCAGTAGTTGCTTCTCCTTGGAAGAGTTGCGAAGCTGCTTCGGTACAACGCCTGGAACTTTTTCGTCATTTTTGACTTCTTGCATTGATCTGGTCACTAAACAACGTGGTCGTTTGAATGGACTCGTCTGTTCACCCATGGATCATAACATGGGGGACACCTTTGTGTGTTGTCTGATAGTCTATAGGAATGGGTTGAATACACTTTTCTTTGATAATCCGTCCTTCTCACGTTGTGTTGATACTGAGGCTACGGTGTTGGACATGTGTCGAAGTCGATACGTGGGTTCTGAGCTGCAGAAGGTAGCCCGATGGAAAGCTAATGGAATGTGTGTGTGTGTGTGTGTGTGTGTGTGTGTGAGTGAGTGAGTGAGAGAGAGAGAGAGAGAGAGAGAGAGAGAGAGAGAGAGAGAGAGAGAGA